TCATCACCTGTGATCATGGCTATTTTTTCTTTTTTTATCAACTCATCAAGATTCCCAGCATCTCCAGTTCCCAGGACCTCCTCATGCTGGGATCGACTCCAGGGAAAGGCTGCCACCTGCTGAGCCAAGTCCACAGGTTTTCCAGCAGCTGGAGATGCCAATATTTTGATGGGGCTTTTGGTTGTTTTGATTTGGGTTTAGGTTAAGTCTTTTAAGTCTTTTATCAGGTCCAGGCCATCAATAATGGCACTGTGCTAATGTGAATTTCTTAAATACAAGTATTGAGCAGCATCAATAATAGAATCCTTAAAAAATCAACACTTTCTAAACATACAGAGAATGAGGCCTCTCCAATTCTTTGAGTGCAAGCTCAAACAACAATTTTTTTAACTTTAAATGAATAATGGGAGATAATGGCAAAGTTCTTCATTGGCCTGTAGAAGCACTGAGCAGATTAACTAAGGTCCCTAAATTGCTTTGAAAATCTCATCCAGGCTACTCAGTGCAACACTAGGCCTTCAAAGAGAGACCACAGAGGCAGATGGGTCTTACCAAAGCCCTACAGACACCACATTGTGGCTTCAGACACAAAGAGCTGATGGTGTGTGTGCTAACCTAGCATCACGGTGCACCTGAAGAAGCACAAAGCCACGTCCCACCAGATCCATCTAATGCACATGAGCTTGTGGTTACTGTGGTTATGCTGTTAATACCTCCACAGTGAAGATGCAACCCGAAGCACAAGATCACCAAAGGCCAGATGCTCTATCAACTCCCAAGACAATGAACATTTCATCTCTTTTCACTCAATTCATCACAGACTTTGCTAGAAACCAACAAACAAATCCTGAATCACGGAGGGACCAAATAGCTCCCACACAGCTGATAGGTCTCTAAATCTGTGGCCTCAGGATACATTTCCATCAAAGCAGGTCGTGATTGCTGTCAGGTCTTCAGGGTGTCACCCTCTCAGATCCCTTGCAAAATCTCTCCTTTCTTTAACCATGAAGTTCCTGCTCAGATCAGTTTTTTCAAGTAGTTCATTACTAACCACATGACCACTCTTGGTGCCAGGAACTGAACAGGCCAGACATGGCTGGAAGGACAATACAGGACCTCAACAAACCTCAGCTGCCTTGGAAGCTCTGGGGTCACTAAACCTGATTTATTCAACTTCCTCTACAGAAAGTTCATGTAGTCCTTCAATCAACTCTCTCCTTCTGACTGTTCTGCATCTTCACTCTCCTGTTTCTTGTTTCTATCGTTATTTTTTGCCTTGAAGCTCTTCATGTCTGCCATGAAACAGTTAGCTTTGTATTGATAGGAATGTGTTAAGGTACCAGGTCCCCTGTATCAGATTCATGCATACATGTGCAGCATGGCTTAATCATTCAGGTTTCATGTGCTCTGTAGTTTGATGTGGGGCAGGGATGTACTGTGAGAAAGGCCCTATAAAAACCATTCTACTTTCATAGCTTAGCTTGTTTCTTGTTGCTGCATTTCTATTTGCTGTGGACTTTTTGTTTTTTAAAAGAAATCCACTGTCCTGACATATTCCATAGCACTGATATTCCAAACCCTCTTTTCTTTAGGAAATACACATTCACAATTTCTCACTTTGTTTCCTCAACGCGACAAAATTTAAAACTCATATTGTCAGACTAAATGAAACACAAATATAAAGGTGGTGTCCACAGTGTCCTCCAACCTAAAGTCACCACACAGAGATGCCTGGACAGCTCTGGAGAGGAAGGGCAGCCAACAGGAAACATTAAATCCAGCTGCTTTCATACACCTGGATGGACAAGCAGTTCTGCAGACGACCAAAGGGGTTTCTTACCGAGCCACAGTGGCATTCCAGGTTTCCACCCAAGCAAAAGGCTCTGGAGGGCTGAAACGCCTCTCTGCGAGGGGAGGGGCAGCAAATGGGATCCCCAGGAACTGGCTGATATTCCTCCATTCCGAGCCGATGTGGATCACCTGGGATTTGCCCATCAGATCTCCATGGGATGGGATGAACACAGATGGGGTTAAAGCTGATCCAGAAATGGGCAGGATTAGATCTGTTGGAAAGGGAACAAAGGAAAAATAAGTTGCTTTTTCAAGTTAGTACCTTTTCAGAAATGAAAATTCATCCCATTTCCCTTGGTTTTAAACTGTTAATTGTCTAATTCACTTCTTTAAATGAAACATAGATAAATTTGTGTTCCTCTTTCGCTGTGAAGTAGTTCACTAACATAGAGCTAAGTGATACTTCATACTATTTCTCTTCTAAACCAATATATTTTATAGGCAGGAACCAAATTCTAAGACATGTGACTAAACCCAAAACACAGACAAGCCTAGCTTCTGTGTCTCACTCTGTGATTTTGCTTCACTTGACAGTGATCAAAACTTATAAAACAGCAAACCTTACAGTTAAAAATAAAGGCATAGCCAAACAATAGAATTTCTATCTGTACAATTTCTCTTTCTCTCTTAAACTATTTTCAGTTCTTTAAAGCAATAGTTCATCTTGGTTTAGCAGGGGCTTTTTTCATTTGTTTCATTGGGGTTTTTTGTTTTCTCCAGAGATATTCCTTAAGACTTTCAGCTGACAGTGGGTTCGCGACACTCCTTGTGTTATTCTCTTCTACAGATGCAAAGGAAAGAGCTGGACATTCATTACTGGTTTCTGATTGTTTTTACCATTCTGCACTTTCCAGAAACTCTTTCATAGACTAGACTTCATTTATTATACCTTCTCCAACCCTAGATGGTAACATTGATTTCACACATTTTCACAAAAAGTATTTTAGACTAGACTTCATTTATTATACCTTCTTCAACACCAGATGGTAACATTGATTTCATGCATTTTTACAAAGAGTATTTGGGGACATTTTCCCATCCTCTTGGCTGTAATTCCACTGATACAGTAATGGACATCCATACTGCTTCATGTCTATTGAGGATTTCCTCACTTCTCCATTCACAAGAATTGTGCACAGGTCACCAGAGTTGAGTTCCTTCCTCCACAACTTTAACCTGCTCTTACCTTGTCTCCTATAGATATAGGTAGCAGGTTCTTTGAGTAAAACCTGGCAGCTGTGCCCTTGCAGTCCATGGGTGCATATCTGTGTGTCAGGGTAGAGTATGCATCTTATTGCTGAAGGCTGGATTTCCAGTGTAACCACTGTACATGATTCATTCTTTGAACAAGCTGAGAAGCAAAACATGAAGAAAAAGAGCAGGTAAATTTGTATTCTCAGAGTATTTTGTATGACACTGTTACACAGTGCTTAAAAGAAAGAGTTTACAACAGGTCAAGCAACAATGACATGACGTAGCTCTAAAGCAGAATAATGGGACATAAGTGTCCTCTTATTCCCAGAGCATTCTCCAAAATAGCCAAAGGACAGAAGGTTATATTGGCTTTAAAATGGAGTAATACAGTGAAAGAATTATTATCACAAGTTTTAGAAGGATAAAAAAATCACCTAATAAAGTGCTGATGACCTCATCTGACTTCAATTAATCCCTAGGGAGCCCCAGGGAAAGTTTTCAGGCACAGTCTGTACTCAGAGTTGGGAATCCAACACTTTGCCTTTATGACTTCTTCAAACAGTTACAGGAAAAGGAAAAAACCCAAACCAGTTATTTACACTACTCACCCTCACAAGGACCATCCCATGGACCTCCTTCTGCAGCAGGTGGGAACTTTTCCTTATTTCCACCACTCTGCAGCACTGAGGATTCCCAGTCATGTGAACTTAAAGGACTCCCTGCTGTCTAGCCAGGCTGTTGATTTAAGCAGTTCCTTTTGCTGTTACTACAGCTCAACCCCTGCTTCATGACAGGTCTCAGTTAACCTGCCCTCACACACCACTGCTATAGGTTACTCTAGGTAATGGCAAGTTGGTTGCTCATATGTCTCACTCACTGAGCTTCCCTTGACTGTTCTTTAGAAAAATATTACTTCATTGCTTTAATTATTTGCTACAATACCCTCCAAGTTGTACAATGCCTGGAGAAATACAGATGAGATCTCTGTGCCCAAAATGTGTCAAAATTACACAGTCCCTGTATGGCATCTTGTGTCTATTGTCTTTCATTAGCTAAACTGTTTCAGGTCTTTTCTATCAGATTCAGAAACACTGGGGTAGCTTTAAAAGTAAGTGAAATAAGTGTATCAGAATTATACACAGAATTCAATATTCTTGATTTTTCAGGCTCAAAAGTCAGTATTTCCTGTAAAGCTATGAATGACCATTTCTTACCAGAAAGACAAAAGTCTCTGGCAGTGGAGAAGTCATTGGATATATCTCTACTAACTTGCACAACTTCAAAGTTTGAGATGGATGAATCCATGAGAACAGAGGACACATTTAGGGGTTGCCATGCATCCAAATACTCTGTAAAAAAGGATCATAAAATAATATAACAAGAGGAATCAGTTAAAAACTCAGAGGAAAATAATAAAGAAGCAAAAGCATTGGAGAATTCCCCAAAGACTTTCACTTTCCTTTTCATCAACTAGGAATAAATGAAATACAATATTCAAGGGTGTCTGATTGACCAGAGTGTACATTCCCAATTTCAGAGGTCATTTACAACTTGGTTTACATAGGTATTCAGTTAAGTAAAAGATAAATCTGAAGTAGTTGCATCCAGATGTGCATGTAAATCCAACTGATTTAAATAAAAGCTTTCTGAACAGGCTTAATTACATTAAAGGATATGGGTCATAATGCTTGCACACAAGTTCCTGAGTAGGTTGACCCACTAACTCCTTGGAAAGCAAGTGGAGGTTAGTTTGTTCATCTTAATTTGATTTGGTGGACAGAATTACATTAAATTCTATGAACTGTTTTACTGTCATGTAACTGCTACATAATTAAGATTTAAATCTATTTCATATGTATATATACACAAATACATATGTGTAATCCTGTGTATTACACATATACAAACATGTATATTCACATATATACATGTACACAGGCATGCACATGCATGAACAGATATATACACATATGTACTGACTGTAAGAATTCATCAAGAATTCTTCTTCTGTCTCACAGTGGATTTCAAGAAAATGCCACAAACATTCTCTTCTCATACACAAACAGATAAAAATATCTGCAGACTCTCAATTTTGCACACAGAAGACAAACAAGAAGGCTTGGGAAAGAATGGGCCTTTAATTATTTTAGTTCCTTTCAACAGTTCAATATGTTTAAAAGCAAAAGGTTCCACTGTGGTCACTGAGTCCTAAACAGCAGGTTGGCATTGCACTCTCCGTGTAATTGTAGAGTAGATACAGAGCTGAGTCAGCTGTTCCTTTGCTATTCCTGGTGAGCAGGTCTAGCCCTGTTGCTTGAGTCCATTTACCACACAGATGCAAAAGTTGTGACCATTCATTTCATCAAAGATGTCTTTTAGACTACTGAGAAATGGGTGACTTGAAAAGATAGCCAAAGATTCCTTCCTCCATCATTCACACAGACAGCTTTACCATACCTCTCAAGATCAAACCTGAAGCTGAGGTCTGGGGTCCATACAATCAGCATGGATATCCTGTCCCATTGATGAGAACCCAAGACCCAAAACACACCACAAACTAAATTAGAGTTCATAATCTTTTTATTCCAAATAATTCATGGCAACACAGGGTAACTGCCACAATCCAGGGCTCTACACTGATGCTAAAAGTCTTTGTTTCTGCAAGGTAAATCCTTCCCTAGGAAGTATAAACCTCAAGCATGAGTTATCTCCTGGAGGACAAGCTTAAAAAAAACTGATGTGCTACCACCATTGCCAAGGCTGTTGCCTCAGTTTTGGTTCCTTCCTCTCACCCTTGCTGAAGAAAACATCTGATGGGGGCATGAACTGACCTCTGTACTCCACATAACCTCCCAAACTGCCCAGCCACAGTTCATGCTTGTGAACTAGAGGCAAGAAAGCAGGACTGTGTCCCATGGGTCCTTTACAACCACTTCAAAATCATTTCATTCTGTTATATTTTGGAGCAACTCTTCTAAGAGAGAGAGATTGCAAGTCTCCAGCTAAGTGGAAGTGAAGGTCAATTCAGTATTAAAGACCACAAGGTCACTTGATGTCACAGAGTAGCAAAGTTCATCCTCAGTGCTATATTCAGACGAGACAGAACCAGTCAGGGAGCAATGACCCTGCAGTCACAGTTTGACTGGTGCAACAGACCCACAGCACTGAAATTTTCTTCCCCTTAGACTGACTATTCAGCTGATTAGAGGAACAGAGTGATTTTAGTCATGTGGAAATTGCTATTTTTTCATATTGTTTCCCTATTTTAAAACCATCTAATATGAGCTGTTGCATGACCCATGTTAGAAAATTTCAGTTTCTACATCTAGGGTGCCAGTTTGTGGCACTTATTTAGAAAGATTATTAGAAGGATACTTTAAAATAGAAATCAGCTCTGTAAGTGATGGAGAATTAACCATTATATCCTCAGACAATCTGCTTGTACTACTAGACCCCATGTCTTTCTTTTCCAGATTAAATCTTACCAATTTATGTTTTCATTTATTTCTTTTTTTTTCCTTCTGAAAACATGAACAAGAAAAGATCTCTTTTAGCAATATGACTCAAATTTGTTTTTACATAGAAGCAATATTGCCATCCTGTGCTGTGTACAGTATTAGTAACTGAGATCCTACTACTGGAACAAGTAATCTCTCTAGGTTCAGGCACAAAGCTTCAAATTACCAGCTGTGGTTCTTTCAAAAGAGAGTCTTGTTTGGATTCCACTGTAAGGCAAAAAGTCTGGGTGAATCAATGGTTTTGGGAGATATTTGCCCAGACTGGCTCTCTTCCCATAGCTTCCCTGACTTATTGAGTAACCTCAGGCAAGTTTCATAATCCTCATATATCTCTGTTTCCCACAGGTCAAACATTCAGAAGCACTTTTGTTTTCTCAGGAAAGAAATTCAAAACAAATCCACAAAAGCAAAATAAATTCCTTGGATTTACACCTCCAACAATTTAATTTGGTCTCCTGTATCTCTTTTCCTGATGTTTATTAGCTTACTCTTATTAAAATCTTTTGAAGGTGCTCAAATTAAGCTTGTGAGTGCACACTGCAATTATTAGGCACATGTAATGTGTTCTACATTTGACCACAGGCTAAGCTTCCTACTTCTATATTAAAAGATACTCATATTATCCCTTTATGTGGGATAGTGTCAAGTTAGTAACACACATTTTATATGCATATGAGAAAAAATGGGCACTTTGCAGCCTATTCTAGGCACAGAAAAATCATTGGTCATGGTGCAAATGTCCATAGGTCATATACTCATACCTAAACCCCATTTTACTAGGCTTATTCATTGTCCCAAATTTCACAGAAAATTCACCTCCCATGACCCAGATGTGGTGGTTCTTGGGGTTTGTTTGGGGTTTGTGGTGGGTTTTTTTTATTTCCTTCTCAGTCCAGGATGAAGAAGTCATTATCTCAGATCAGATTTATATGCTGAGACTTGCAATGTTTTTATTTTCCCCTTTTCTGCCCAGCTGACCTCAGCCATTCATGAAACCACTGTGGACATTGCCAGCCAGCAGCAAGCTACAAAAGAGATTTTGGATATTAGTTGTTTCCTTCTTTCCTTCTCCTGGCAGCGGATCCAGCAATGCCCACAGCCATGCACACCCACTTCATTCCATGGGCAAAACACAACTTTCCATGGCTGATCTAAACTTGTCTTGTCTAGAAAGTGCTCTCACGAGGCACACAGCTATGAACTGGCACTACACTACTGGAAATGCACAGTGCACCTGATGGGCTGGAAGACATTTCTGCTTTATATATAGGTTAAGCTCTGACCTTCCAAACCACATTTTGGCAAATGCTTTGATTGCATAATTACAGCCCTCTGAATCCAGCCAGCCCTGTAACTTTTATTGCAAAATTATAGATGTCCCATACAGAGAGCCTCTCTCTTCCAGATGTTCTTGTTTGGGTAGGCAAGATTTAAGACTGGATTTGCAAAAGGACTCGCTCTGGCCTTACACTGTTCCCACTCCAGTCATAAGATCACAAGACTGCAATAGATTTCCTGGGGACACAGAGTTCAGCCTCCCACTTTCACAGGCAATGAGATTATAAAACCCATGTCATAAAGTCAACAGAAGTTCCATCACTGACTTCAGTGGAAGCAAAGAGCCGTCGGTTCTGAGTTTGTTGGCAAATTTAACATTCGATATATGGAAACAGAAAAACAGAAGTGCAATAAAATAACAAGTTAACTTTAAAAGAAAACTTGAGAAGTTGAGAAGGTTAACATGAAGTTAAACAGGTACATAAATCAGATCTCTGGGTTCAGGATGCCTGATTTATGTCTTACAGACAAATTCTGATCTTAGTTCAGAAATTTGTGAGCCGTATTTAATAACGTTGACTGAAACCCAAAACATGCTTACAGACTGAACTTGATGCTTTTTATTTTCAGTGTTCAGAACCTTTTTACAACAGACTGCTAAGCTGACTGTATGCCAATAATCACCAAAACCAGAAAATCATCAACTCAGAGTGGACCTGAAGATAATATATTCTTTCTAAAATACAACTGCTTCTCATTTGTGTCCATCCACTGAGTTTTTTATAATCTAAAATGAGTAATTTTCTTTAAACTGATGCATAATAACTGTAATCACACCTCAGACAAACATGTCCCAAAACTAACAACTGTGTTATTTATGGCCTTTAGCAGTGAGCAATCTTGCTATGCTCTTGTTAAATGCAAGTTTTCTACCTTCTTCAGTAGTGCCAATTATAGTAAATGATATAGTAACAGAATATTTAAAATATAGCAGATATTTATCCAGGTCTAAAGTAAGTTGTTTTCAAAAGGCTAAAATCCTCATGTTCACAAAGAGGATCAAAATCAAACTTAAGCCCAAATGTGGAATAATTCTAGACCAATAGAGTTCCCAAAGAGGGATAAAAAAAGGCTGCCTTAGTTTAACACCAAATATCTCTCTGATAAATATTCAGCATTGTGGGAAAGCAGGAAGACAAATCATGCTATTAATCACCAAATTCACCTACATCAGCACTTGTACTACCATCAGAATCATTAGGATGATCTGCTCCATGACTCTGTCAGACACTGAGGTCAGACATGACCTCTGAAGTCACAGTAATCTTTTTTCCCTGTGTACAAGCATTAACACAATTTACAAAATTCAGTCACTGCTAGCTTTTCTGTGATGCCCAGCTCTAAAACAACTAATCTTTTATAACATGTATCAATATGACATATATAATAAAAAAGAGTTAGGAACAATGTTTTTGAACATTTTCCGAAACCTCAGACAATGTGGCACAGATAACAATCTGACCTAAATAACCAGGCTGGTACTTTTACTACTGAAATGAGGTAGAACATACAAAGGACAGATGGTGCCCAGTTGCATTTTGAATGTGTTGCTGCATCCACTGATGTCAGAAACCCAAAGTGTACAGGATGCTGGTGCTAATTTGACTTCCAGGCTAGTTGTGTTCTTTGCAATTCAGTGACTTCTCCTGACTGCTCTCAGTCCTCAGGACACTCATTTTAATCCAGAATCCTACATCCTTGTGGGAGGCTCTGCCTGCTTGGGTTGCTTAACCTGACCTTTGCAAACCAGAGACGTCCCTAGTTGCTCTGCATTTGGAAAGAGGACCTGGAAATGGGTGCAATAGGCCAAGGCTGTTACTAAGGGCACGATGAGCATCTCACTTGCTGGTGCTAGTTCTGGGCAGCCTTTAGAATACAAAGCAAATGACAGAAAGGCCTAATTTCCTTAAGTGCTGTGTAGGTCACTGTTTTCCTGGATTTAACAAAGCAAGGAAAACAGAAAAGGAAAATGACAAAATTACAAGTAAGCTTCACAGTGGAAAGAAGAAAGCTATAGTGAAGTGGTTTTCCACATCCCATGGGGGAAAGTAGTTTGCAAAGGATTTGAATTGCCAAACGTTCACATTACCCCACTAACTCCTCAAAGCTTTTGACATAAAAATTACTTCTGCTTGCCTATAAAGACAGGAGTTTTCCTTCTATTACATTAAAATGATCATTGAAAAATCACAAACTCTACGAATAAATACAAATAGTCTGAACATGATCATGCCTGGTGGTCATGGATATAACAATGATAAAACAGATCATAATAAATTCTGTACTCAGTATTGAAAATTCTTTGCAAATATTGCCAGTTTCCTGCAAGCCCAGTTGCAAATGCTTTAAGGAAAGACAGATACAGACTAAATATCTACCGAGCTCAAACAGAAAATCAAGGGCAGAGATGGACAAGACTTCTCAATTTCAGTCTATCTGGAGGGTTAAACTGAATTTTCTAATGACCAGTCAACCTGTTTCCTTTCCGTTACACAGAGCATTTAGCAGCTATGATGTGTATTTCTGGAAAGGACACATCAGGGAAGCCTGTAGCTGTTGACAATTTGCATATATTTTAGGGGGCAATAGACACAAAGCCCTGAAAGACAGCAGTCAAGTTTCATTTATTAAGAGGATCCACTCACTTTTAAAATAACGCATGCGAGTACTATTACATCCATGGCAAGTGATGTGACATCCACACTCAGAAATAAATGTCTTCATCAAAGCTGCCAAATGTTTTGCCTCAGTGACCTCATGTGGCAGTGAGTGTGAGATATTGTCAGCATTGTGGATATAACAATTCTTTCATCTAAATGATACACAATTAATAAAAACGAGCAAACAGCTAAGTGAGTAACCTCGTGGGGAACACAAACACTTCATTATAGAGTATGTTTTGTATGTCTGTAGCAATACATACAAAACAGAGAAAGTTTCCTTTTACCTTTTTTTTTTTTTTTTTTGCTTAATACATAAATACACTTACCACTTTCTGGCCTGAGAGGCAAACTAACAGGTGGACACAGGTTAGGCATGGTGCTCTTCAAGTCAGCTGAAAGGAGAAAAACTGACACATTTGAAAACAATTATACTCAAAGGTTTAAAATGTAGTCAATATTGCAATATTTCCAGTTATGGACATCTCATTTCAATAGTTCTGTGATTTTTTTTCCATGCACCTCTCTGCATTTGGGCTTCTGCATCATGACAAACATGAGATTTTCTCTGCTTCCAACAAACTGGAATTTCTCAATAGCAGAATTAGAAAGAAGGCAGTTTCCAGCAGAACACTTTCCAAATTAAAATGCAAATAAGAATTCATCGTTTCCATTGACAAAATTTTCCATTTGCTAATATTTCCCCATACATATTTTGCAACCATAAATAACAAACTAGACTGTGCATCCATATTTTGAAAAATACTTTGGCTAATCAAATCACTTATAAATTCTCTACTAAGACAAAATAAATTACCATCCCTACAGAAGCTGAAGACAGATCAGATTTTCTGTTAACTTCTTCCACTTTGTATTGCCCATGTATGTAACCAATAGATATTTCTAAATTTTTTTTCCCATTCACAGCAGTGAAGAATTGGGGCTATCCACAGCTCTTTAAAATACTACTCTACGTTCCTTGTTGACTGAGCTGCAGCCATAGCTACACATACAGAGACAAACTTCTCATGAGCAGAGCCAGGCAGGAAACTGCTCACAATTTGTCTTAACAGAACATATTAAGAAACATGGAGCCACAAGTACCTTCCTACAAGCCTGTGGACCAAAACCAAAGACCCTGCTTCCTGCTTATGTCCCACTGCCTACTGTAATTTACTCCAGATTTCACTCATTTTCCCTTTTAGCCTCAGAGCCTTTTTGTTCCTTTTCCTGGTTCCCAGAGCCCCAACACACCAGCACAACTGATACAAATTTTTGTCTGTAAATATCTCCATTTGCATAAACATCTGTGCCTTGCTGTGTGTCATGGTGGAAACACATCTGAAGTTCCCTCACTACATAAGGAAATGTCACTGTGTCTCCTAACGCTCCCCACTTTGCATACACCCCACGCTCCTCTTTGTCATCCCTCTGTCCATCAAGTGAGAAACATCCTTTATTTTTAGTTAGTTCTTTGCCTACAAGAGGAAAAATGATTCCAAGAAATGGAAGTATATCTCCACCTCTGCTGTCTCCTCTTCACTCCACTTTTCTACCATTCTTCAATTTTACTCCTGTTTGCCTTTCAACACCCACTGCCATCAGGCTCCTGCCACTGCCTGCTTTATCAGGGCTGCTGTTCCCTTCCTCTCAGTGACAGACCCTCAGCCCATCCCACCATATAAGCTTCATAGTGCTTCCCAGCTCTGTGCTACCTCTAACCTTTAACAAGGGTGGCCCCACTAGAGGAGCACATGGATGGTCCAGTGGGCTTAGGGCCTGTCAGGATCGAAAGAGCCCAGGACTGAGTTCATATTTATCAGACACTTAGAGTGTGAATGAATGTGTTCTTTATCAACATCTCAAAACACATTGTATCACCACAATATATGATCTATCTCTACACAACTTTAGCTGAATTATCTTTCTACCCTGTGCCCTGGACTATATATATCCACACTTTGTGCCTTCCCTGTCCTCTCAGGTATCAGCTCTTCTCTACTCTGCAAGAACTAAGGGAGTGTAAAAGTGGGAGAAAGCACTCCATAGTCAATTTTTCTTCCAGATTCTGTCAACATTACCAGACCTGCCCCCATGGGCCCTCACTGCTCTCAGTGGAGTTCAACATGGTTCTGCCTGTGTGACTCAATAGCAGGTTGACCTCCCATGGAGCAGGATACAGTTAGACAGCCAGGCAATAGTTTTCCTTACTGTTTCAAAGCTTAACAAAGTAGAACTTGGCCTGCCCAAAAGAAGTGTCACAAATGATAAACACACTGAAAATTTCAACAAAGTAATGGAGCTTTTGTTTTGCTATGGAAAAGAAAATTCACTTGGACTAGGAGTGGTTTTGATTCTTGAGGAAATGACCCAACATCTCAAAACTGCTGTTCTGTTTAAACACGTGATGGCTTCTTACTGCTTGAAGAATACAGTGTTACCCTGGAATTTGGTCTTGGCACTTTCTTTACCAAAACAGACAAAAGTGAATTTTAAATTCTGTAACGAAACCAAACCGTTTGAAGTTATGACTCCACACACAGTGTTCAACCAGAAGTCCAGCAGTGAGAAACAAAGAATGTTTTCCTGACCAGGTCTGTGCAGTGAAGCAAAATATATTTGGATTCCAATGTTGGCTGAAAGACTTCAATAAAATCTAAAAAATAAATCATTCCTCTTTGAGGCATTTCTATTCTTTGTCTAATAAAATGGAGATTAAATTGCTCCCTTCTCTCCCTTGTTCCCTAGACTTTGCCTTGTCTATTTGTGATCCTTGCAAATGGGTCCTCCAGCTAAAAGCTGGAACTTCTATACATTAAAGCTAAATAATAAGCTTTAGTGAGCAGAAATCAGATAGAAAGGTCATGTGTTCTGTATTACTTACCAGGCTTTTGGTACCAGCCAAATGGGTGTATTCTGACTTCAGCATCTGGTGAATTACAATCTGAAACTTGCCAAGAACTTCTTGTTTCCTCAGCACACGTCTGGATTCCAAGGCTGTTCAAAGTCATGCACATGATCTTTCCACCTGCCAAAGAAATGCATGGTTATAAGAATTAAAAGGAAAATTTTCCTCTCCTATATAGTATTTTGCAGAAAGTGAATACAACATGGTTCCACTGAATGTTAAATGAAATTCAACTTACGTAGAAATCAAAGAAAGGAAATACTTAAAATGGGCCAAGTTTTACTATTCCTGAAACTAGTGTTGAAAAATCCCAATTAATTCAATTTGAAGGAGGGTGGATACCAACATTATAATCCATTAAAGTCACGGAGTATTTCCACTGAGCAAAGATGAGCACTCTGAGCAGAAAACCCTTTTGCCTGAAAATTAAAAATCTGTGTGTATATTGAAACATGTCTCTACATACACCAAGCTAAAAATTTTGTCCTTCAAAGACCTAGTGTAAATAATTATGTTCCTGAAAAAAAAAAAAGGAGGATTTCAAACACAACTAGCACTTTAATTTAAGATTTATCCTAGCTCATGTTAAAACCACCACTGAAAGTTCTCTTGCCTATACAAATACCAAGATTGGACACCTGAAATGCCACAGATAATATATGTTAATCAAATAAACCAAGGGGTGTCAGTTTTGCATGTTTCATGCTTTAAAATCCTCCATTTATTTTAGAACTATCTAAAGAAACTAAAAGTCATACTCAGGTGAGACTGAATTCACATGGTCATATGGAGATATGAGAACGGGCAACTATTTTTTATTAGTGCATTAATTCCAATCTAAACTACACTGGATTAATTTCCCAAGCTATTCATTTTTCGACTAAGTGAAAATTATGTTTCCTCAACAAAAACAGGAATTAAAAATATTTATTTCTGAAGTGTTTCAAATTCCCAAATGAATTGTAAAACCAGCATATGCTTGTGACCTCAGGAAGCTCTGATTACCCCATGACTTCTCGAAAAACAGTTAGGCATATTAGTAGCTTAAATCTGAATTTAGAATAAAATATTAAAAACTATTTCGTTGACTTTGACCTGGATGACATCCAATTTTAGACATCAGCTAAAGACTTGCTTTTAAACAGAGCATTTTCTTCATGCCAGTGGAGAGAAAGAAAAGTACCTCCAGAACTGATTCAGTCAACCAAAGCTCTTAATGACCCCATAGTTGTGTCCACACATCTTTCTGCTGACAAGAGAGGGAGCACAGGGTGACAACACCCCTCAATTTAGTTATCTCAGGAGAATAAAATGTTTGTTCGACTTTCTAATGGCTCTCAAGTCACACATACTTCCAAAGATTTGATTTCCTCAGACTAACAGAAATCCGACTTCAGCTGTATTAAGTAGCTAAAACACTTAAGGAGAAGCAGATAGGCAAGTTCTATCCACAATCAATCTTCCTTAAGTAGAAGTCTAAAATCTGGGAGCAGAGATGTTCAGACATCCAAGAAAGCCAAAAGCAGCCCCAAAGCATCCACAGATACTATGTGCTTACTATGTGTAGCATTACATGTGAAAAATGAAATAACACACTGGGGAAAATCACAAAAAGAAGTCAAGCAACATTTTGGAAGAGAGGTTGATAAAAGAGAAGTAATTGGAGTTTGATCAGTCTGATTTCATGTTGTTGGAACTGCTGTCTCTTCAGAATTCAATCTCATGAAGTTTTCTTAATAACCTATGAGATGTGGAGTGTGTCATTGGGCTGAACTCCTAGAAATGGTTATGGTTACTCAAAAAGGTGCTAAAGACAGGTGTATGGAATCTCAAAGGACTTTTAAAGTGCTCTTTAGTGTAAAGAATGGTAAAAATTGTATAATGAAAAAGACTTCAGTTATTTTAAAACTAAATATAGTGGGAAAATACCTGATAGCTGGGAGTCATTAAAAAAGCCAAAGCCTGTGCAACAAGGGTCAGTGTCACACCAACGCTCACACTCAAAAAACCTGGGAAAAGAAAAACATCACTGTTAGGATCATTAATAATCAGTCTCTGGGATGGAGAAGAGAGGACATTGCATAGTGGAGAGAAGCTGTAGAGATTCCTTTCAAAATAAGGCTGAAGAACCAGTATGATTCTTCATACTGCATACACACTTCCATACATTTCCCATATGCAGATGAAATTATGTTTCATCATTCTACATGGATAATTTAGATGATTATTTTTGATATCTGCCCTAAATATATCAGCCTGAATTAATTTAGTATATTATTGAGAAGAGAATTAACTGCTCAACCAGCAATTTAATAGTAGTATAAGTAATAATTTTCATATCATAGAATCATATAATTTTAAGGGTTGGAATAGACCTTACGGATCATGTAGTCCCAACCCCCTGCCATGGGCAGGGACACCTCCTCACTAGATCAGGTTGCTCAAGGCCTCATCCAACCTGGCTTTGAACACCACCAAGGTCAGGACAGCCACCACTTCCCTGGGCAACCTGTTCCAATGTCTCACCACCCTTAGAGCAAAAAACTTTTTCACACATAATTAGTAATTATATGCATTAATATTTATAACTCAATTACAAGCTTCCTTTAAAACGTGTTATTTCTTCTTCATTAAACATTCTCAAATAATGCTGATTTTGGATAAACACATCTAACCCCCCTTATCTGCATAACAGGGTCTTGGTACTCCAGGCATAGTTAAAATTCCAGGAAAAAACAAAGAAACAGTTGTATCCTACCCATCTGAAACAGCTTTTCTGCTTAGGTCAGTCTTATTCCTCACTGAGATTCCTGTTACCTTCTGGAATGGTACACGTGTGTAGAAGCTCTTCACAGAACTTTTAAGAGTGACTGGAAGGAAAATGAAAAACAAAGTTGGAAAAATCAGTTTAACCTTGTCATATACATATATTGGTCAAGCAATCAAATGGTAAAGGGTCAAGTTTATGTTTCTATGCTGTGTCCTGGTCAATCAAAAGACAATTGTACATTATCACAGTCTCATGGTTTAACCCCAGGCAGCCACCAAACACCACACAGCCACTTACTCACTTACACACCAACAGAATGGGGGAGTGAATCAGGAGGGTTAAAACTAGAAAAACTCATGGTTTGAGATAAAGACAATAGAATAGAGAAAGCAAAAGCTGCTCACACAAGCAGAGCAAACCAAGGAATCAATTCACTGGTTCCCACAGGCAGGAGGTGATCAGCCATCCCCAGGAGAGCAGAGCCCATCACACATAATGGTTCCTTGGGAAGACAAATGTCATCACTCCAGATGTCCCCCTCCTTCCCTTCTTCCTCCCACCTTATATACTGAGCATGATGTCCTATGGTATGGAATTATCCCTTTGGTCAGTTTGGGTCACCTGTCTGTGTCTCCTCCCAACCTCCCATGCATTCCCAACTTCTCCTTGCCAGGTGGGCAGTGCAAAAAGCAGAAAAGGCCTTGACTCTGTGTAAACTCTGCTCAGCAATAACAAAAACATCTCTATGTTATCACCCCTGTGCTCTGCACAAATCCTAAACATAGCCCCACACTGTGAAGAAAGTTAATTCCACTCCAGCCCAAACCAGCACACACAGCAAAATTTTGATGGTTAAGGCTGAAGATGAACAAAAATCTGACAAGTGAAAGCTGTAAAAGCTGAGCAAAGTATATCACCAAGGAAAGACTTCCAGCCCAGGACTTCTGTTTTTGACACCTGTATTGATGCTACTCCTTTCACAAGGTCAAAAACTAGGGTACAGCTCCAGACTGGGAGACTCGAGTGTGCTCATGCATTATTCAACCTGTGCTGCACTTTGGGCTCCCCAAAAAGACATGATTGGATAGCTTAGTTCAGTGGACCTTTACATTATTCACAGCAGAATTATAGGCTCCTGTACAGTGATAAGAGGCTTGTTTGTCTTCCTTCCTCACATGAGCCCTATGAGAAAATCATTGAACTTCCCAAGTATTCAAAGAGCAAACGTTAAAATCCACGTCTGTAGCTCTGGATGTGCCAGAAATAAGAAAAATAATATAAAAAATGTTAGTCAGTGCTTTCAATGTTTGCGTTATTTACCATGGAAATTTTAATGGTAGAAAATGGCATTGATTATGTTTCAATGACATTCCCTTTTCACCCATGTTCTAAAAAGATCTAAGAGCTGGCACACAAACTATCTGAGCTACCCCTTGGCCTCTCTGAACTGGGAATAGCTGAGGTGGAGGGTGAAGTCATGTTTAATACCTTTCCATTCAGAACTGAAAATGAAAAAACATACCTTGAACATCCTGACCTGTCCTTGCACCATCACATCCCAGAACTCATTCATACATTCAGACTTTTTTATCTCAGAATCCAGAGCCAAAACACTATCTTGCATTACCAGGGTTAGAGTAGACATTATACACCCAAATATCAAAACTTGCCTATTTTATGATAGAGTGTCTGTGGCTGCCAGGGTAACACGGTTGGACAGTTTTCTGGTGTTTGATCCATGCTGCTGTCACAAATCTGTGCCTCTGGATAGAGGGTGCACACAAAGTACTTGTCTGTGGTGTTCTGAAGATCTGCCATTCGACAAAACTCTTCTTCTTGGGCACAGCCTAGGAAACAAAGTCACAAACAGTTACACACACCTGAGAACTTCTTCCCTCTCTGTTCCTCTTCATGTCTTCAGCACAATTAAAGCTATGCACCAGCAAACAACCAAAAGTGAGAATGTCGATATTGTGCAAATTGATTAATTTAATGAATTAAAAGTGCAAGAAGAAGAAAGACATATTCTGTTTCTAGTGTAGAACAGGCTTATCTGGAGAGCACAGAAAAGGAGATACAGGACAGCTAATTGGAAAGATAGATTTCCCAGCAGTGACAAGCTGTCACAATACTCCAGTGTATTGGTGTCACTCTGATATTTTGATTCATAAAGATTTCTTTCTTTTTAGTAAATCTGACATACAAAGTATATATAATCATAAAAGAACTCTGTATCAGTTGTGGGTCTGTTATTTTAAAGAATTAAAAGGGAAATAAAGTTTACAACACCTTAGGAAGTTTTGACAAAAAAATATTTTTGAGGCATTCATGCATCATGCAAAATTACACATAATTTTTCTAGAATCAGCTGTTCGAGCCATTTGCTTGTGGCAATTTGTGCTGAAATTTGCCCCAGGGTAATAATGCACCTGCAGAAAAGAACCAAATCTTTCAAACCTATTTCTTAATTACCCTGGCAATGGCTTCTGTAAATCTGTATGTCAATGCTTAATTTTAAACAGGCACAGATCTACTGACCTCTTACACTGATGTTTGTGCACTGTTAATACTCTTACTTCTGCCTTCTGGTAGAGCTAGAAACTCTCCTCCATTTATTGAAACAAAATATACTTTATCATTAACCCCAAGTATATGTATTTTACCTTCTTCTTTTACCACTCTCTTATCTCACTCTTTGGAGGGGCACATTTCATGAAGAGCAGAGCATTGCCTAAGCTGTATCTTCAACTTCTCTTGCCCACAAAAGGATTACCCTGATGATGAAAGACAGATACCCTTTCTGCCATGAGAGATAAAAGAGTGTAAGGAAGAAACAGGTGGCCCCATTAGAAATTTCCATGAAAATTTTAGGAGTTTCCACCAAAAAAATCTCAAAGTCCAAAGTTTGTACTCATCATTATTTTAATACCTATTAAAAGAATTTAGTTAATTATTACTCCCTACAAAATAGCAGTCTCCAAGATGTCTTACGTGTGAGACACCAAAGCACAGCTTCCTCAGCTGAGTACTTCTGCTTGAAGACCCAATACTGCTGGTAAGGGAGAGAAGAGTTCTGGTCACTTTGTATCCTGCTGTTGTCCATCAGGTAGAAAAGATCCTTTGTAGAATCTGAGATGCAAACAAATGACAAACCAACCCACAAAAAGACACTTTACTCTGATCTGGAATTAATTAAATTTATTTATATATAAAATTCTGCCTTTCCTGGTGAAACAGCTGTAACTATTCTGTAGGGCTAGCATTCACCCAAAGGCTGCTTTCCTTAACAGAGTTGTCCAGTCACAGACATTGATGCTCCTGCAGGCAATGTTTCCTGCCAAGTTGCACCGCACAAAATAGCATTCTCAGACTATTTCTACCACCCAAAAACTACATGGAAATCCAGCTTCTAGAAATTAGAGGGTTCTCTCTACTCTATCATGAAACACATTATCCTAGCAGTGAAGTATGATGCTCAAACCCTGGCAGTTCAGGGTTGTTCAAGGCCTCAAGCCAACTGGTCTAGTGGGGAGATGTCCCTGCCCATGGCAGGAGGTTGGGACTAGATGACCACTAAGGTCCATTCCAACCCCTAAAATTTAACGATTCAGTGATTCTCAGAGGATGTTTGCAATTCCTTAATTAATCTAGTTTTATTATTCCAAAATACAGCAGTTTCCTTATATTCCCTTCAGAAGTTTTTACACCACTCAGTGTTAAAAGTTTTCTTGTCAAGCTTAATATTTATTTCAGTCATTTAACCTGACTTCTCCTAGTTTACGCTCCCACAGACCACATTAAATAACTACTTTTTGTCACCTGCCTGTGACCTTTAGACATGTATGCAATGCTTTATATCTCCTGAGCTCCCTTTGGAACAATCAATCACAGTTATTTCGGGCTGTGTCCAAATTTATTCCTTCAAATAAGGGTCCAATGTTGAAAGAGAAGTGCACTCCTCATTGATCTCTTACAAACTTCTTCATAAACCCTTTCTTATTTATCAAATAACATCAGCAGGTCTCATCCCCAGTTGCTCCAAAATTGTGAGGCATTCTGTTATTTCATCTTACATGCACTGAGACAACCAGACAATAATGAAAGAAGAAAAAGTAAAGCAATGCTGATGATTGCAGCTGAAGTGCTGAAGCACTTACTGACATGCTGGGAGTGCATAATAACTTTGAATTTTCTATCAGAAACTAGAAAAGATGTGTTACTATATGTTTTATGAATGATCATGAAGCCATAAAAGCTTTGTAGACATTTTCCCAAATGTATTCATAACTTCTTAAAAAAGGTGGCTTATAAATCCTGTCTCAAGTCTTAACATCAACCTCCAGTTTTCCTGAAACAGCTGGTGCCATGAATAAGACCTAGGGATGGAGGTAGAAACTACATTCCTTGCATAACTTCAGGTTTTAATGATATCATCAGCCCCAGCAAGGCAAATAGAGAACCCTGAGGGCTGCAGTCATGCCTTGGCAGGTAAATACAAGAGAATCTTAAGCACTGTGTTAAGTGCTTTTTTTTCCCACTCATTTTTAAGTCTAGACTTTAAAATACCCCTAATTGTATAGAACTTCTGCTAGGTAAATAGGCATTTTTAGTTTACTTTCCTTTCAAATTACAAAAGCAAAATCAGCAATTCACTTCCTTTTAGGATTTTGCATGTATTAAATCATATGCTCAGGTGTTTATCAAGGCTCCTCAGGAAATACTACAGTTCTTTAGAGATGAACCAAAGTGCTCTCAACAGGCTCCACTGCTCACTTTCTTTTAGAATTACTGTGCTGAAGGCCCAAATGAACTCTAGCAACATAATACAAATGATGTTGGATCCACACACAACATAGTAAAACTAAGCACAGACTCTGGAATAACAAAGGAACAAAGAGAGGTTCACAGGTCCCTCACTTTCATCATGCATGGAAGAAACACTTGTGATTGCAGTTTCATCCTGAGTCCCTCTAAGCTTCATATTTACAGTCATGCTGTCAGTAGCAGTCAATATGCCCAGGCTAAGGATTTCATTCCTGGGTTTATGTAAAACATTTTCTCAGCCGATATTATTTCCTGAGTGTTTTCAGTTCAGTAAGTCTGAAAGAACAACCTTGCACATATAATTTTAACACTTTCACTTCTAGCCTGGCCTGGGAAGGTAAAAACCACAAAGCCAAGAGGCTTATAGTTTTAAGATCTTTCTCAAAACCTCTATCAGACCTACTTAACAGAAATGCTCTGGATTTTACAATACCTATATCATTCTGAACATCTATAGCAATACATGCTATTTTCTGGTTAAATACTGCACTCCTCCTCTGCTACCTTCTGCTACCTTATCTGTCTGCCCTGGATACAATACCTGATAATGTTAGATCATTCTCTGTCTTCAAAGCAGCAGTATCACATGCAGAGGTTTTAGTCTGGGTGATCTTATTGGAGTCTGGAATGCAACAGGAAGAGCATAGTAATTCCCTTTATCTTTCTACCATGAGAGAAGATAATCTTTTGTTCCCAAAATTTAACAAATATTTTGATGTGCACCATTTGAAAAAAACCCTTTGGTAGTTCCACCAACTGTTGAATCAAAAATGAGTAAAACCATCTCTGTATAATTCTAGGGAAAATCTAAACCAAAATACACTGTTTGGATGACAAAAGCAAATGTCATATCCACAGTCACTATGCATTCAGCATTAGTGCTCTGGAGGCTGTGTGCTTTTATACAGCAGTATTACAAATCATTTGTGCAGGTCCTGCTATGTACATGGCCACATTCAGAAAGTAAACTTGCAAAAATAATGCATATATTGTTATCATGCTAATAAACATAACCTATGTAGTTATGCATAAAGGGCCAAATTATTATGGTACCTGGACACTGATGGGACAAAGGCAAGTGTCATACCATTTTCACAGGGATTAAAAGTTATAAGTTATGGTCTAGACACAAGAACATACCCAAATTTCATGAAACTACAGTAGAATTTCTCCAGTTTACCCATCCCTGCCAGAAAAGGCTTCTGAGTAGTGTCTCAATTTGCACAGCGTAAAATGAAGTGACAATGACACTTCCATTATAGAACAGACATCTGCCACTGCCTACAGTTCATCCTAAGTTTTTATAACAACTCCAGTAAGATAACTCACCTCTCCACAGGTAAACTTGCTGAAAGGTAGTAAAATTTCTTTCTGCCTCTTCCACCAATGGAGAAGCTAATAAAGAAAAAATTTTGTTAGAACAGTTGCTCAAATTAAACACACAGTACTGAAATGCTCAGAAAGTCATAGAAAACACACCACTAGACTATACATCACATTATTTACAATACAACACCCTAAGGAAGAAGCTCCCAGGTGTTGTGGGACTAATCTGAGTCCAGAGTGCAAAGGCTTTACTTAATTTTCCATCACTGCATTTACTGTGCAGCTCTGGGCATCTCCCTCTTTATCTTTGCTCCAGACGTTAACTTTCTTTTAGATTATTCACCTTTCTTTCAGATTATTGGCTTGAATCTGCCTGAAGTAAATGCTGGAAGTATTATAGAGTGACATACTAAACACACTCTTGACTTTCATTAATGTTCACACAGGAAAACACAAGAGGTCCAACAATGCATCCAACTAGACAATTCTTATTCTGTTGTGGTTGTACTGATACAGATTTACTTGAGGAAGAAAAGTACTGAAGTATAAGAGCAGGCTGGTGAAAAAGGCAGAGTCTATACAGGAATTAAAGAAAACTAATGTAAATTGAAATAATTCATTGACATACTTCCACTGAACACTTGACCTCCCAGGGTGAAGGAAAATGTCTTCTCCTTTTCGTTATAGCTCACACCGTTACACATCTGACCTGTGATGGAGGTTGGTGTGGGACTCCAACCTTTTTCATTGCAGATCAGCACATCTGGGGAGCTCAGCAAACTACACAGAATGGTACCTAGGGTCAGGCAAAGAGAGAGCTGCATCACTCCAGTAATGCTTTGCATCTGCACAGAGCTTTTCACCCAAGCACCCCAATACTCTGCCTAAATACCAAATGAACCTGTGTCACCTCTTAGTATAGCTACCAAAAAGAAGAACTCAGAGCCATATGTTCAAATTGGAGTACTAAGATTAGCTACTCATACCCAAATGAAACATGTGCAGCATGTTTTTCAGAGACTTCAAGCACATACTATTTACCACTTAATAAAATATTACTATTATCTGATAATACCCAGCAATATTCTCAGCACTTTATAGCACCACAGAGACTCATTCAATCCTTTGGCAGTTTTACGATCGCAGGTTCTGAACCAAAAAAAGCACTTCTATTTTTATTGGGATGGTTCCTTGGATTGGTGCCTGATTTCAGTCAGGCCAGGCCTGAGTCTCCCCCAGCATCGTGGTGGGAATCAGGGGACCAGTGTGCTTAGGGCCAGGGGTTCTGGCATCAGTCTGTTACCAAAACTTCTAGGAGCAATACTCAGCTCTGGCTTTGCACTTCTTGTCTCAGCTCAGGCATTTCTAAGGTTTTCACAATGTCTTCTCTGGTTTGTTTTTATGAACTGGGTACACACAGTATTGAACATGCTACTTTTTCCTTATTTTTTTTTCTTTTTTTTTTTAAACAAAATGCTAGATCCAAGTAATGCATTACCTGTCATACTGATCCAATTAGGTCACCCCAACTAAATAGATAGCTCTGCAACATTCACCTTCTCTATATCCCCTTCTGCACTCACAGGTACAGAAATCCCAAAAATTTGATTGTAAACGCATAGAGAAATAAACTTTACAATATCACACAAAATATTTAGATGCAAAAATATATAAAATGACAAAACAGAGAATAATTTTCTGTAAATATTTGCTTTACAACTTCCACAGAGAAAGTTTTTTCAAATCCAGGATCAGTTTTCACTCCAGACTGGGGAAGGGTTTGTCACATAGCAGACACTAGCACATGCCTGGATTTCATAGAATATCCCAAGTTGGAAGGACCCACAAGGACCATCAAGTCCAACTCCTGGCCATGGACAGAGTCTACCTCTAAAAAAACTTAAGGCATGTCAATTAGAGCTTCACATTTTCTATGGGAAATGCATCTCCAACAGGAAAGTTGATCCCATGTGAGCTTGAAACTAAACTACATAAAGTAGGCACTGATATATAGTGCTTAAACTTGCTGGCAGAAATCTGGTTCTGCCCAAGTCCCACCTCTGCCAGACTCCATCCATACCACTCCTACTTGCTTCTGGCAAATGAGCTGTGTCAGGGCTTTATCTCCACTGCTCCAGGCCAAGTCTTGGGCATTACTCAAATTCTGCCTACACCAAAAATTGTCAACAATGTAGTCTGGTGACATTGGTATGATGTAGAGGTAGGTGTACTGTGTCCAAAAATGACTTCCACTCAGAGCTTGTTTCCTCCTGCAGGAGTTTCTATTTTACAATTAGGAAATACCTGTATCAAGTGCAACCTGGCTCAAGATGAAGCCATCACAGCAGGAGTCCCTGCTGCAAGCCTGGCGACAGAAGAGCTGAGCATCAGTCAGCAGTGTGGCAGCTGCTGAGAACACCATGGAGTGGTAGACGCCGGAAAGCACGTTCTGAAAACCAGTCTTTTCAAAGGGCTTGAGTCCAGACCAGTTAAATTCCTGCCCTGGGTAGACAGAACAGGAAAAAAAGAAGTGTTCAAAAAAGCTCAAGAGAAGATGGCCTGCTTTTAGATTGCCTGCAGACTGGAGCTGGCTGAAAGGTTTATGATTTTCTGGACTCTGAGATTCAGAAGCAAGATAAGATCATCGGATGGTTTGGTGCCATTATAGCTAGGGAGCTGGTCAGGATGTACTGCCAGCAAAGGGCTCCTAAACTGATGTTACTGCCAGCAAAGGGCTCCTAAACTGACACATGCAGAAAGGCTGGTAATATTCTGCTTTCAAGCACTACATTAAAAACTCTGAGGTATAAATGAAACATACTTATCTCATTTAAAAAGTCAAATGTGTAATTTGGCCAGTGCAACTGCATCTGCAATTAAGGTTTCTGCCAACTTATTCAAAGAATCTTGGATCTAGAAAACTAGAGTAGATCTGATCTCAACAAGATTACACTGATTGCAAAATGCTCAGGAGACTCATCTTTGTTTTTTTCAGGTGATACTTAGCTCTTTATTTTTATCATTAATAATAAACAGGGATTCAGAGGTTTGTATAGAAGCAACAAGAACACAGTGACAGCAGAGAGTTTTGATTTAAACCCTTCAGCATTCTGAATTTGGTTGTCTTGTTTCTAGCTTGGCATGAGGTTTAAAACTGGACACACACTGGATGGGGCATGCAGTGCTATCAACCATACTCAGGCCAATGAATAAATAAATAAAGGCACAAAATTTATCTCAGACATTCATCAGTTTAGCTGAATCACTTTGGGATTCACTGGAGAGCAGGTTATTCCTTGGCTGCTATATTAGTAGAATAATTCACTATCAAAAGTAACATGAAGTATGAAATTATGTACAAGCTGGTCATTAACAATGCCTTATATATTCAAATAACAAACTGTCTATTAAAGAGAATCAGAACAGAACAGAATAGCATAATATATTGGATAGCATTTGAGCTTTTATGGGACTGTTTGCTGGCAAAAGCCATCAAAATGGCTTGCAAAAGCTGTATGCTTAATTTCTAGGGAACAAGACACGAAGGGAAGATTTGTTGAGGTTTCTTGGATACCACTAAATGTTGAGCTCTGAAAAGTATTGGATCATCTTAAACAAAAATGACCTTCACATTTAGCCATGATCCTATATATAAGTAACTACCAGTTTGGGCACAGAGTCTAACATTAGGTGAGTGATTTACATCTGGTACCTCTCTTCAAATAGACCATCAGTGCATCTCCCTCTGGGTTCCTGACATGAAGGAGGCAGCTGAGGCTACTGATGCCAGTGGCAGCAGAGTTCCCCAAAACACCTTGCACCTGAGACAGAAAACAGGAATGCACAATAAATGTAACCTGATTGATTTCCTCTCCTAAAATACATTTTCTTTATTCATAAACTCAGTGGAGGAACTAGCACACACAGGGGTTATCACCACCATAGCTCCATGTGGACACTTTTTATTCTGTCTAATACAGACATTTCTTATTCTATCAAGCTGAGACCTTGACCCTGCACGGATACATTGCTGCATGTAAGAGCAGTGAAATGGAAAATATTACAATGATGAAGAGCACACAGGTCAAACCCTGGGCTAGAGGAAGGGACTCAGAAATTATAACTGTTTCAGGTGATCTGATTACCAACCTGGATACTTCTAGTTAGGACTATCCAGATTAACCCTCCTTTAAAATCAGACTGATTTCCTAACTGCAGGAGTTCAGCATGTTTTAGGAGCAACAGTGCTGTGTGATGTTTCAACCAAACACTGACGCATTCAGACGTCACTTTTGGAAACATCTGGGTAGAACTTCTTTACCAACTTGCAAGAATTTATTGCTGCCATAGAGAAGAACAATATCCAAGGAGCAAAGTAATAGCTTGCCTTTCTCCTGAGATCTCATCTACTTATATTTAGCATACAGCATTATGATAAATTCGTATTTTTAAATATGATCATGCTTACCAATCCAGAGGTGGTGCAATTGAAGTTGACTTCAGCAGTACTGTAAAATTCACAGATAAATTCAGCACCAGCAGATGTTACAGCTGCAAAGCCACATGCATCTTCCCTCTCACAGCCTGAAAAATGGGAAAGAAACCTTAGGTATCCCAGCATTTCACATGCAAAACCTTTGCTACAAATTCCACTGCTTACTGCCACTTACCTGGTTTTTCACATGTCTATCAGACTGCAAGCACATGAATGTCATTAGCCAGATGGACTTAAGTATTCAGCTATTTTAGTAGAGGGGTAAGAATTTTAAACTAACTTAAGTTCATGCAAAAAGTTGTTCATCACCTGATGATACAAACAGCTGAGACAGGTCTTACCACCCACTCAAATATTTAATGTCTTCTGGATAATTTTGCCCAACACAGAATTCACATGACCCTCTTTGCCAGTATATCACATCTGCCTGATACAGTAACCCCATGGCAAAAAGGTTGTGATGAATATTGGAGTGATAAGAAGGAGAAAAACATGAAATTCTTCAATCATCCTGGCTGCCTATGCAGCAACTCCCTGGCCAGTGTGAGGGAGCAACAGCCACCCCCCCCCCAGATTTAGGAATGGCTAAAGATCCCTCTGTCCTTGCTCCACCATTAACTTGCTCCCACAGCTTTGCTCCTAGCACAGGTGAAACTCTTTCCAAATGTCTTTAGTTTAAAATCAACCAACTTAGATCAAAACATCATCAGAAACATAAGCTGAGCTCTCTGACTTCATGGGGACTCAGAGAAGGAAAATTAACCCTTATCCCTCAGTGAGCACTACAGCAGTAACGTTGAGTGGCAGTGCTGCCATTTACAGTAGATGCAACTTATAATTAAAATGCAGCAATATAGCACTGAATCAGATTGCTTGTCAAAGGGGCATCTTTTCCTCAAAAAGTTCATTCTCAGGTTCTTTCAATTCAGTGTCTTGCTTTTGAAGGCCTCCATTTTCATGGAAAGGTGCAAGAAATCTTAGAGTATACAGTCAGAAGATGATCTGGTGTGGGAAAGTCATTTTAGCAACATATTAAAATGCTTCACATGTTCAGTTCTCAGTATGAGAGGTGACTGCTCCAGCTAGATCATGGTATGTGACACAAAGGCACTGATTTGTCAGACTTGTGTGATATGTGCCTCACAAACAGGCTACCTATGTGATTGCTGCCAGGGTGTTTTCAGGTTGAATGTATCCCCTCTGCCTCCCTTTACAGCCTGAGCATCAAGAGACACAAGGTGAGACTGACTCAAAGCAGACAGAAAGGACTGCAGTGATTCTCCTTGATTTTAGATGATTTTGAACCCACTTAAACCAGCAAACATAATGTATCCAGATGCAATATAGTACATAGACTGTAAGACTTGGCAGAGGAATACCTCTGCACTCCTTACAATACACTTCTGATGTAAGCAAGGATGATTATTCTTCTTTTATGTGCCAATCAGGTAATTTGGGAAGAGGTAAACCTTGGGTTTCATATGTCCTGAACACCTAATCCTACTTTTGTCTGCACATCTGCAAAGTCTGATGAATGTTTCCTGGTTTGAAACTCAGCTCTCATCTGTATTGCAAACTACACCAACTGGCCTTAAAGTCAGATGACTTGTGTGAAGTGGCATGTGAAGTCAGAAAACTTCTTTCTGAAAGAAAATCAATCTCTTCCTGAACCAAGGTCAGCAACAACTGTTCATATCTTGCAGTGAATTGGTGCCAAACTGCACATATTGTTCATCAAGGAACTTAAATATAAGCTAATCATATAAAAAATCATTATTTTCCACGATAGTTAGTGCAGTCTCTGCAGATTTTCCATTTTCCACGATAGTTAGTGCAGTCTCTACAGATTTTCTGAGAGTTTTCTCACCTGAAATGCACTGAAAAGCTGTATTTTGTGTGCTTCCTCCTAATGACTGAGTCTGAAGGATTTGAGCTTCTCCTGATCCATAAATCAGATTGGAGGCAGGAACTCTCTCAAATTTTCTGAGCACTAGAAAAATAAAGCAAAAAAAATAGCTCAACCAGGGAGCATTGTCAGTTCCCATACTGCAACAAAGACTTTAGGTAGAAAT